AGCATCGATTATCCGACCCCCGATTAACCGTCACATCGGTTAACCGACCGTTCTAGTCGGCAAATTTCAAATGTCCGATAGTGATGTGGCACTACAATATTTGGCTATGTCTTGGCTACTTTAATATTATTTTTGTTAAATTTTTGCGTGTTTTAGCTGGCAACATGGCTCGACCATTGAAGGGAGACCAGTATTTAAATGAGACTTAATTTTCTAATTATGAGTGGTTGTTTGTTTTGTGAGCAATAAAATAATTTAAAAATAATTCTTAACGATACGATAGCGACGATTATTATTTAAAAAAAAATTGTTAGGCTTAACATTGATGAAAATTCAACGCGAAGTTGGTTAATAGTGATATACTAATTACATGGGATATACTAATATACTATACTAATAATGTATTTTTTTTATTATTCTATTCGGTTATCCGATTTTTCCAGTTATTTGACCAACCCGAGTCCCCAATTGAGTTGGATAATTGATGCTCTATTGTATTTCAATTTAGTGTATCATAGTTATTTATTGAAATAGAATGACTTCTTAAAAAAATTGGAATATGTTAGAAATGTAAGATGTTTATTTTCAGTTTAGAAAGTAGATCCATAGATCCAAAGAGCACTGATATTTTGATTAGTTTATCCAAAAAATAATCATAAAAATAGGAAGACAACAAATGAAAATAATATATCTCAAAATTAACAAAAATTTAACTTTAAAAAAGCTAAATGCAGTATATAAAACAAGCCAAAATCATAATAGTCAATTGACAGAGCTGGATTAACTACTGCACTATAACTTGGCTAACTAATTACACATTTAATCCAGATCTATTATTTCATTATTAATAAATGTAATACTCAATACTTAATACTATTTTACATTTAGTATATGTTTAATAGTATTATTCATGATAATACTCTTAAATATATACTATTAAAATTAATATATTTTAAAGCGTTCAAGTTAAAGTATATTATAAAAACTTAGCTGAATTCTAATTGCAATAAGCAATCGTTATCAGGTAAAAATACTTTAAGCTCTTTCATGCTATTAGCCTGAACATGTGGCTGATAACACGCAACTGTTATTAGTCTTAACTAGTGCTTTAAACATTAATTGCTTGGAATATAATAATTTATATAATTGGTATTATGAAGCTGCTTATATAAGCTGGTATTAAAGTTGGTAACAAACAACAGTGGGTGAATTATATATTAATTAATAATATTAACAATAATAATAATAAATCTTCAAATTTAATTTTTATAATTGTTTTTGTGTGTTTTTTATGCTAGTCAATGAAACCAGTATTTCTTCTCATTGCTGTGCTTTTTACTTACTCTGCTTAATTAATGTTATAAGTCATCATTATCCTTTTAAGCAATTACCAGAGTGATTACAATAAGCAAAGTTGATTAGTTTTGAAAGGGATAATTGATATACAAATAGTATTTAGATAAATTTTTGAAAATAAATCTCTGATAAAATAAAAGTATAATTATTATATTCAGTAATTTCAAAAATTAATATAAAAGTGGACACAAAGTTTATGGATAAAATGATACAAGAAGTATAAATCCATATAAATACTTATTTGTATGGATGAACAATTTATGTAAAAAATTTGGATTAATTTTTTTTCAGTTTAAATATCAATTATAGACAAAATTTAGTTTAGATATCGTCTTTCATTTATGCCTTAACTAAAAAAGATATTTTAAAAAAGATACTTGTTTTAAAATATCTTTTGAATAATTTTATATATAAGGTTTTTCTTATTTTAGATGAAACGATTAAGAAGTGTATTAATTGCTGGTGCACCTGACTATGATGAACTATATCAAAGTATTCGTCAGTTAGAAATTCCATTCCAATTATCTGTAAAAGATTTGCGTTCTCAAATTGTAAGAGAAGCATGTATTACTATAGCGTAAGTATATAATTTTGTTCTAATTTAATTATCATTGTTTTAGTTAAAAATGTCTAGTTTTGTTGGCTGGAATTATCTCTCTCAGTAATTAATTTTTTCTAAAACTTTTTCATGAAAATAACTGGAAAGTGTTTTAACAACATTTTCTTAATCACAGAACTTCTTTACAATAAAATGATTAATTTATTATTTTAATTTCATTATGATTACAAACTTATTACTTTGTCTTATATAATTAGTGATTTTGAAAATAAGCAGTTATGTTACATAGTATATATTGATATAAGCAGTGCATTCGATTCTGTATTACCTAATATCCTTCTTAAAATACTACGTGAATATGATATTTATCTTGCGCTTCATTCTTGGTTGAACAATTAATTCCTATTAAAAATTTATAAAATTAAAATAGGTGATTATACTTTCTTTGACTTTGTTCCTGTATATGGTATTTAACAAGGATCTATTCTTAGTGGCCTTTTCTTTTTAATATATTTAAACCATTTCTGCCAACTTAAATTTCATATGTAGCTTATGCCGATGATATAAAATTATTTTGTTCTGATCCATCTATCTTAGAGTCTGATAGCTATTAATTAATAAATATGTTTAAATCTGCTAACCTGAAAATCAATACAGAAAAAACAGTAGTTTTGTGTTATGCTTTGATCTGTAATTCTCCATTACTTGTTTTTTACTTCAATTCTAATCCAATTATTTATGTAACTTATATTAGCAATTTGGCATTGTTTTTGATACCAAACTTTCTTTCAAAAATCACATTGATAAACTAGTAAAATCTCTGGCTATCAGACATGGAATTTTATGACAATTCTGTAAGCCAATCTTTAATAAAAGAGCATTGCAGACCATTTTTTATGCTAATTTTTAATCTTGTATTGATTTTGGATTGACCATCTGATCAAATTCTGCACCTTTCCTTTTACACAAGATTACTTCTGCTATTAAATTAAATAATTAATAAGATATAACTCATGTATGTAACATGCTTTTCACTATTGACACTAATATTGCTAGAATTTATTTGAGTTTCCTATCTTTCTTTGAGAGAATTAAATATTTTGACTGGTTAATATATTACAAATATTTTAATGGACTTATCTATCAAGATTGGCTTTCACTCCAAATTCCATCAAGAAAACTTTGCTCATCATCATTCATTTTTACCCCTTTTTTCACCTAAATATATCCCAATGATTTTCTTTTAATGTATATTGCAAAACCTTAATAATTTTTATATCTTAACTTTCCAATTTTAAAATGAAATGTAAAAAAGCATTGCATCTCTTTTAAGATTTATTTTTTTTTTGTTTTAGGGTTTGTTATTTGTTTTTAAGATACACTTTTTTGTAGGGGGTGGAAATCAAATGTCTAACCATACTTTTCCTGTAAATTTAATGAAATAAATAAATAAATGATATTAACCTATAATCTGTGGGATATTATTAAAAAAAAATAAGAAGGGAATAATAATTAATTAAACAAATTAATGAGAAACTGGACAAAACAGTAAAATATTGAGAAATACATTCTATATTTTAGTAAAATTATGTAATTAAGGAAAATACTTTGTTTTTTTTTTTAATAGAACATTTAGTGATAACACTTGTTTTCATATTTTAAAGAAAAATGTTTTGAATTTTAAATGTAGTAGACATACATTTTATTAATTTTAATCTCTCATAAAAGATTGAGAGTTTACTTTTGCATGTCTAAAGATATTATTATTATTAAAGAATTCTTTGAATTTTTAAAAAATATCCTTAATTATGGTGATGTTAACTTTATACATTATTGTTTTATTTGGATTAAAATTTAATCAAATGTTTTATATTTTAAGGTATTTATCACAACAGCTTGGACCAAGATTAGATCATTTTGCTGAACTACTTCTGCCTAGTCTAATAAATTTGATTCCAAATAGTGCCAAAATAATGTCCTCAGCTGGAATTGTTGCCATACGTTTTATTATTCAGGTAATTTTTCACTTTTTAAAATTAAATGATTGTACTACGAATAAAACACACCTTTAATAATACAGCTAATAAAAATTAATAAAGTAAAAACGTTTTCGACCATTTCTTGAAGGTGTGTTTTATTCATAGTATATTTATCCAGTTAGTTTGTTACATAAAAAATTAAATGATTGTTTTATGAGTTGTTTTTAATTTAATAAAAACTGAATATTACAAAAATGATTACGTTATAAATATTGAAATTTACATATTTAATTATTAAATCTCTTTTACAGCATACTCATGTGAGTAGGTTAATTCCTATAATAACTTATAACATGACATCCAAATCAAAAGAAATTAGGAGGTAAATATTGAAAACTTAATTGATAAAACTATTTACATTAATGATTTTCAAAAATATAAAAATTTTTTTCTTTTAGAATATGTTGTGAATTTCTTGACCAGTTATTACACACATGGCCTACTCATACGTTAGAAAGACATGTAGCACATATACAAGATGCTATTAAGAAAGGTATTAGTGATGCTGATCCAGAAGCAAGAGCTTTTTCCAGAAAGTATGACTTATTTATTTTTTAATTAATTTTTTTTTTTGTCTCATTAAGATTAGATGTTAAAAAAATTTAAATTTGTTAATATGTAATTGATAGAAATCTCCTGATTAAAATTAGCATAAAGTATACATAGAAATTTTTATCTGTCTGAGTGGTTACTTGCATTGTATCTTTTATAACAAAAAGTACCAAATAAGTGCTTCATTAAAATGTTAAATTCATAACTGCATGATTATATAAAATACCAGCAATAGATCAACATTGGAAAATATAGGATTAAAAATTGAAATTTTTGCAGTAAATGGTAAATATGAAGCTGTTGGAGTATTGACAGTAGCAATGAATATTAAGTTACAGCATAAGTGCATAAACGGACATGGACAAAAACAGAAATTTATTCAATATTTTTGGAAAAAAATCTTTTGCAAAATTATTACTTTCAAAATTATAAGTAAAAATGCTTATTTCAAACTTTCTTTTCAATATCCCAACAGGGAAATGTTAAATTATTTTTAATTTGTGTAATACATAATTAATTAACAAACTGCAGAATTATTAAATACTAATTTTTGTTTAAGATCAATTGATTAATTATGAACATCAAAAGGTCTGTATTTATTTAATCAATCAATTGATCTTAATCAATTAAGCAAACTCAGTATTTTGTACACTAATATATTTTATTACAATTTCTATTAATCACATGACTCTTCATGTTATTAGAGCCATTGTTTACTACTTGTATTATACTTTATTTTAAACAGAACTAGGTAGCCTAATAGTTCAATTAATGTTAACTAACTTAATTTAAAATTAAAATTATGAAAAATTTTTTAAAAAGCAGACAAATTTATAAAATAAAAATTAATGAAATTACTAAAAAATTCAAAATGAATTTAAATTTGATTATCTTTTGTGTTAAACAATGCTGAAGCTATGTCTATAGTTACGNAAACCAATATTTTACAAAGAAGCAGCATGTAAGTAACATGTACCAATACTTTACAAAGAAGCAGCATGTACCTGGGACTCAATGGGACCCCATTGAGTCCCAGGTAAGTCTACAATTCATTCCTTGAAAGGACCACCCATTAACTTCCTCTGTGGGCTTAGCATGAATTGATGAGACGGGTTAACAAAGGGACGAAGGTCTTTATGTAGGGATAGAAAACACAAAAGATTCTACTTTTACTTAGATTGGAGTTGAAGAGATGGCTATTTCTTTGCTCCCACAGCAACTATCCTTTAACTTTGATTTTTGAATAACAACCTTTGGTTATATACACAATACAGATATAGTTTTAGTTTTTATATCTGTATGTATGTGTATATATCAATATATATTCATATATACCTATACAGAAATATAAAAACAAACTAAATCTGTATTGGACAGTGATGGAACATTTTGCCTTTAATATATATATTAAAGGCAAAATGTTCCATCACTGTCCAATACAGATTTAGTTTGTTTTTATATTTCTGTATAGGTATATATGAATATATATTGATATATACACATACATACAGATATAAAAACTAAAACTATATCTGTATTGTGTATATAACCAAAGGTTGTTATTCAAAAATCAAAGTTAAAGGATAGTTGCTGTGGGAGCAAAGAAATAGCCATCTCTTCAACTCCAATCTAAGTAAAAGTAGAATCTTTTGTGTTTTCTATCCCTACATAAAGACCTTCGTCCCTTTGTTAACCCGTCTCATCAATTCATGCTAAGCCCACAGAGGAAGTTAATGGGTGGTCCTTTCAAGGAATGAATTGTAGACTTACCTGGGACTCAATGGGGTCCCATTGAGTCCCAGGTACATGCTGCTTCTTTGTAAAGTATTGGTACATGTTACTTACATGCTGCTTCTTTGTAAAATATTGGTTTCAGTTTTGGTGGAGATGGAACATTTTGCTTTTAATGTATATACAGATTTTTTATTTGAATGTTTTCAAATTTTGTTAGTATTCTTTTCTTGTACAGTGTAATGAACTTAAGATGACTGACAGAAAAATAAACAAAAAAACAATAACTAATTTAATTAGGATAAATAAGGTTTTTTGATTTTTAAATATTTTTATTTCTAAAAAAGTTTTTAAAAAATGCAAAAATTTGCAAATTAAGACTTTTAAAAATTTATTAAAATTGATTTAATTAATTTCTAATCCTTGAAAATTTTGACATTGGAATTAATAATACAAATTTTTATCTTTGAATTTTTAAAAAATATCCTTAATTATGGTGATGTTAACTTNTTTGACATTGGAATTAATAATACAAATTTTTATCTTTGAATTTTTATAAAATATATATATATCAAAACCAAAGATATATTTATTTTGATGAAAAATTTTTGAAAACTTACTTTTTTAAGGGGTTTATGACTATGATTACAATGATTTGAAATTTAAGTAAGTCTAAAAATTAATAAATATTTTTTAAAATGTTTTTGATGTTTTTTTTAAACAAATCTTTATTAGAAAAGATTACTTTATTTCTTTTGTTTTTTTAATATGTTTACTTAAACTTTATTTTATGCATATTTAATAATAATAATAATAATAAAATAGATAGATAATATAAAAAAAAATCAGTAATAGTGAACATGATAAAATTTTATTATTCAGCATACCATGATCTGATTCTGAATTGTTTTCAGGAATGCATTAAATATCAGGAATTCAGATATTTAGTATTACTTTCTATTATTTAATACAAGAAAAATTCTATTTCGTTCTGGTTTATTTGAATAACCCCACCCAATCTCCTCAAATAATACAAAAACATTCCAAAAATATCTATTTACTTATAAAGTCGTTTTTAGCATGCTATTGAATATTACAAACTCCAACAAATACATAATGATATTAAAGGATATGTTTGTCAGTAGTAATGTAATGAATAAGTTTAGTATCCTTTGCTAGGAATTGTCTATTATAAAATGCATTGTCTATTAATTAATTAGAAATTTTCTTCATAGTGAAGAAAATTTCTAAATAATAGACAATGCATTTTATATTAAAATATTACTGCAGAAAAACACAACAACAATAGGTAATAAAAGTACAAGTAAAGAGGTAATAAACCTACTATAAGGAAACTTACCACAAAATTTCAGTACGATGATACAAGCTTATTGTTAAGTCATTAAACTATACACAATATCATTAAAACAAACAGCAAATATTGAAAATACAGTCATTTTCTACTTTATACTTCTACTAGAGCAACTTTTTGAATGTTCACAAATTAACATTGAAAAATATGTAGTACCAGGATTATTTTATTTTGATATTGTGATGGATAAAATATTAAAGATTATTATAGTAGGAAGTGAGATACCATGGTATAGCAGTAATTACTAATTGAACAGCAATATTGTAATTTAGATAAAAAATAGTTTCTCTTTGAAAACAAACTATTTTTAATTTGTTTTCAATTAAAATTATTAATGTTTCCAACAAATTTTTATTAACTAAACCTTTATATACTCTGATGTATCAAATTTAAATAAATACATTTATCTTTGCTTTATAGAAGGAAGTTTTTTATTGCGAACAGTAAACTACAGGAAAATACATTCACTTTTATAATTGTTTCTTTCAAAGTTAAATAACATAATTATTACATACATAATGGTTTTGTAATACTGTTTAAACTATTGAATATTTGTTTAATCGTTTTGCAAATTACATCTAAATTCAAAATTTCCAGCAAATAAAAGTCAAAAATACACATCAAATGTTTTCGGCCACTAAATTTATTGGCCTTCCTCAGGAAATACAAACTGGAAAAATTATTCTATAAATAGAACGTAGCTGCCTTTTAAATTTTAAAAGAACAAAAACAGCTGTGACTGTGATCTTAGACTACAAACTGACACTACATCACATATATAGAAGGATCGCAAATAATTTAAACGTACTCCTTATCTATAGAAGGAAACCCACCGTTTTCCGCCTTCTCTCAAACACGAAGAACGACACTGAAGACGCTCTGCTCCTAGGATTTATCACATACCCTTATATGATGAGAGGTTTGACAGATTACTAGCTTATATAGGATCCACGTACAGATCGCTGCAAGCCAGACTAAAAGATGACAAATATGACGTGCTAAAAGGTAACATCAATACGGCTTTAGCACAGTATGCCAGTGATCTGGGGATTTCTCCCTGTTGGGACCAGGCCAAACTAATACACAAGGTTTTCAACAGGCAAAATATTAAAAAAAATTTTAGAAGCAGTAGCGATCTACAAGGCGAGCATGAGTGGAAACTGCATGAATATGGATGTCATTCCTTTATCATCAGTGTGGAAACGCTATCTAGACTCATAATATTTGGCATACATGATATGTCACACCGTTTTCGTTTTTTTTAAATTTAAAAGGCAACTATGTTCTATTTATAGAATGGTTTTTCCAGTTTGTATTTCCTGAGGAAGGCCGATAAATTTAGTGGCCGAAAACGTTTGATGTGTATTTTTGACTTTTATTTGCTGGAAATTTTGAATTTAGGTCTAATTTGCAAATATTACAGTTCCAGTTTATGGTGAGGTTGTATTTGTTTAATCATTTGTCAGTCTTAATGATCACATGGTAACAAATTACAACATATACTATATTAATATTTATTTATAATGAAACAAACTTTATATAAATATATTAATTATTGCAAAAACTGGATGTATTGCTTTTATATTTTATATTTCCAGTTTTTTATACAATAAAGATACAATAATATACAATAAAGTTTTATACAATAAAGTTTATTATATAAGATTAAAAACATAAGTTCAGTTATTAAATTGTTTTCATTACTGGGTTTAGGTGTATATGGAGTTAATTTATAAAAATCTATGTAGTATATACTCACATAAGATGCCGAATATAGTTTAAGGAATAAATTGTAGTCTTTCAGCATTAGATTTATTTACTTGATGAATTAGATACATGCAAGTACTTTTGACATTTCAAAATGTCATCCTCAAGTGATGAAAAATATATAAAATTTGAATAAGGATTTAAAAAAAAACTCTTTACATAAAGTGAACATAATAATGTTTTTTTAAACTTTATTGTTATTGAACTTTTCGTATTGCCACTTTGAAATATTATTAAAGTTTTCATATTCATATGCCCCATTGAAAAGTTTAATGACATAACTCAATATGAAAAAGAAATAAAATATAAAAATTATAAATATTTTTTGGAAAAATTATACCTAAATATAATCAGTTGGAACTGTCAGGGCTTAAAAAATAAAATAGTAAGTAATGAATTTCTCCAATTGATTGACAATTCAGATATTTTGGGATTGACAGAAACATGGATGCTGACACCAATTAATGAAATTAATATTTTTTTCACCTTAATGTGATAGTTAAATTTGAAATGTTGAAAGTAATTGTGTGTATTTATCAAGTAAATAAATCTAATGCCAAAAGATAGTACAATTTCTTCCTTATAGAATTAATTTATATATATGATATATAAACATTCCAAGAAACTAATGTATTAATAATCATCCAATCATCAGCCAAATTAATTGGGCTGAATATTTTTAATTTTGTAATTTGTAATTAATATTTGTAGCATAATTTCTACCTAATTAATTTGGCTGATGTTCTGATGATTATTAGTTTATATAAATAACAAAGAAAAATAATGGAACTATATTTTAGAGCTACTTAAAGATGATATTCCATTTAATCAGTAATGCTGCCTAATTGCATTTTTTCGGCCATATATTTAGAAAGTTTAAAAGTCATGGATGGAGAGTAAGAGTAAATTTTTAAAAAATACAGAGTCGTGTATTTTTACACTGACTCCCCATAACTGCTATGTCTCTTGAGTGACAATAATTTCAATGATGGCAACTATGTCATTTCAGTTGAAAGCAAATTATCATAAATCTTATATAATTGTAGTAGACAAGTATTCTGCTTAACTATTCAGCATTATACTGTATTCAATTACAGGTAATATGTCTGATTTTGCTTGGGAAAATGATACATTAAGTAAAGTTATATATATCTATTGTGTGTGTGTGTCTGAAATTGCAATATGTATATGTTTGGTTAGTTGAACAAATCTATGACATCACTAATCCCTTGATACAATGCTATTGTTCAGCAGAGAAATGAGAAAATTGAATCCACATGCTTAGCACTTGAAAAATAATAGCAGCTGATAGGTGCTAGAATTGAAGTTGCAGCTAATAGTCTTTCTTTGTAGTTCTAAATCAAATTTCTTTGATCAATAAAATTTGCAATGAAAATTTCAAAATTATACTTTTCTAACTCTGGTATTTGCACCAATAGATTAGCTGAATTATTGGGCTATGTTAATGATTAGTTACTAATTAATTTGACTGGAGGTAGGCAGATATACCATTGTTTCTTATTAATTTTGATAATTTTAATTATAAAGTTAATTTACTATATTTATAATAGGCTTAATACAAATTCAGCTGATCCTTTGGCATTAAATCATTAAATTGGATTTGAGTAGTAGTAGTTTGGTATTTTCTGAGATTTTTTTAAACTGAAATTTTTTAGTAAATGCATCAATTCATTATTCTTTCCTAGAAATGTATTGTGTGATGTCATTGTCTCATTTCAAACAAAATTTTCTCCATTAATGACCACAAATTTAAGCTATTGTATTTAAATATCACAGTTGACTTTACACCCACTGGCCTCCAAGAAAAACTTCCTATTCATGCTAAAGACATGATAAGAAACAGATGTAAACTATTTACTCTTGCAAAGAATATTATAATTCTATCAAAGCTCATAAAATAGAATAAGAATTAGCATATATTCTTTACAGGACTATCCTGAATATATGTACAAAATTTTATAGAATCTTGTTTAGCCATTCTTACTTCAAATTTAGAAAGACTGTCTGGTTTGACTGTCTTGCATCTGATTTCAAATCAAGATGAGTACTAAATTGAAATAGTGTACAATATTAAAAGATGATAAAACTTTTTGATGAAAGAGAAACTGAGCATGCCACCGAAGCTTAAAGGTGCATTTTTTTCTTGTTAACTATGCACAGTGATAATTTCGTTCAATAACATTAATTTGTATTAATGCAGTTTTATTGTCTCAAAATGAAATTTTTCTAACTACAAAAAATTTCCCTAATGCAAAGGAAATTCTTGAACTTGAGTGTTATCAAGTGACAAATTTGTATGTAAAATTTTATGACACATGATGCATTCAAGATTTGTTTCCTCACTATCAAAGAAAATTTATTACTTTTGACTGTTGTATGCATGTGTGTTTCTAAAAATGTGAATGAACGTTAGACAGATGATAAATCTTACTGTTATGTCAGACAAGTACAATACTTTCCAGCAGTTTCTTACTTTAAACAATTTGATACATATCTTTTTGTTAGTTTAATGCAGGGTCACCAAACTACAGCCCGCAGGACAGATCTGGCCTGTGAGCTCAGTTCATCCAGCCTGCCGCCACACTGTGCCACAAATGAGCTAAAATATAATTATTTATATGGAAATATCATAGATTGTAGATGAACTTACTATGTAGAAAAAATTTAAATAAGTGTAAGTAAAAATGACAAAATTGGTCCAATCTGGTTTTTGCATTTGACAGTAATGTAATTTTTAGGAAAATCAGTGAAATAAAAAATTTGATGACGTTTTGCGACTTTGGATATTGGAGTGCTTTTTGTGTAAGTACCTCAATGAAGTTTCTAAGAAAAGTGATTACGAGCTTGCTGCAGTGATGGTGTTTGTGTATTGGTAAATAAATATATTGGTTTTCTTTATTTTTTGTGTATTCAGTATACTATATTGAACAAAATGGTTATGCTACCTGCACTCGTCATTCTCTCAGTTTCTGGCCCACTGTGAAAAACGTTTGGTGACCCCTGGTTTAATGCAATTATTTTTTTTGTTTTGATTATTTTATTTGTAAAACTATAATAAACAGAAAAATATCAGAATTTTTCAGTATTCTAAATCATATATTACTACCACCAGACTACAATCTCCACAACCACAATCTTTATACATACAATCAGCTTTCAGAAGAAAATAATAAAAATAAAAATAATAATAATAATAATAAATTTTATTGAATATTTTTTAATTTAAAAATTAAATTATTATATATGTTATTAATGATATTTTATATATTTTACAGAGCATTTTGGGGCTTTGCAGACCATTTTAAGGATCAAGCGGATAGTTTATTAAATTCTTTAGATACCAGTAAACAACGAATGTTACAGGGTGAATTATCAATGAGTAATTCATCTAGTAACAGTAGTTTGAATAGCTCTGGTAGACCCCTTAGATCAAGTGTCTCGTGTCATGGAGGATCTGTTGAAAATCTCAGGTAAATTTTCTAATTTTTCTTAAGACCATTTAATGTCATTTTTAAATTAGCACATTGGTCACATTGCTATTTATAAGTATTAAATTATTTAAAAGAAATTTTTTTAAGTTTGTTATATAAAAGTTATGAGAGTCTTATTTAATTACTAAATATATTTAAAAAATAATTTCAATATTGTAAAAGATATAATTGAATTTGAATACATTAATTCTTTGATTAAAGCATCTGTGTTCATTTTCTTAATGAAATTTCAAAGTATTTAATGGAACAATTAATAGCATCATATTCTATGAAAAAGAATAATTAAAATTTTAATTCATTTAAATTATGTATCTCGTCAATATGTTTGAAATAAAGTAAAATGCATTTTATAATAACAGGTGAAATGTAATGTTACTGTAAAATTATATATTATTAAATTGGAAATTGGATTTCAGTTAATTTTTATTGTAAAATATTAGATTTGTTTAAAAAATTGACATTTCTAATCCTTATAATTTCATAAATTCATGTGTAGATTATCATTCGTAATCTTGATTTGGATATACCTGGAGAATGTATTTATTAATTCAGATTTTTTCTATATTTTCATGAACTAGTTATGATATTTTCTGTTTTTAACTATTATAAATGAAGAATCATATGTATATGAATCATTTATTTGAATGAAATCCAATAGATTATGTGAATAAAAAATATCATTATCCATCTGGTTGTTGAAATAAAAATGATGTATAAAAAGATTGTAAATGTATTATTATATAATTGATTAATTAGTTAAAAAATGATGTACACTTTTTATCTGTTTGAAATACAAAACATTAAAACAAAAAAATCATACATAAATTTTGTATTTTTGTTTTATAATGAAGAATATTCTTAATGTAATTTAAGTTATTCTTATTAAATTTCTTTGCATAACTTTATTTTAAAATGGAACAATATATTGTAATCATTAATGCATTTTATTTCAAATTATTGAAATATTTAATATAATTATTATAATTTTCTGTTAAGGATAAAACCTTCGAAAATAGAAATGATATTGAGTATTGATAGAGAATACAAAATTAACTTTTTCAGCTAAAATGAGTGTTAGTTTTTTATTGCCTTTTCATTAAGTGAGTTAAAAAGAAATTAAATATTAAAATTAAATATTTTAAAATTTTTTGAACATGGTTCCATGTTTCTGACAATTCATTGTTAAGTGAGTGAGTTGAATAAATGTATTCAAAAATGTGTTGCTCTGTGTTAGATATTTCAGAATTCAGATTCCTTGTACAGAAGTAGAACATACTGTTCGGTTTATGTTGAATTATTGCTGCCTTGTCTAAATAAGCTAAGAAAATATTCTCAGTATGAAGTAGATTGTAGTTAACTACATAAATTATCTTTAACTACATACATAACATGTATTCATAATGATAATATTCTGCAATAATTTCTGTTGCATTTCTATATTTTTACTTTGACTTTGATGATTAAATGATAATTATGTAGGAAATCGGGTTATTTTTCTGTTATTAGTACAATTTTATAATAATATTTTACATATCAAATAGTTTTGTTTAGTTTTACAATAAGATACCACTATTACTGTACTTCCTCAATTAAATCCTGGAGGAATTTATTTTTAAAACTTAAGGTTTATTTCCCTCAAAGTTGGTGTTTAATTACTTGTGCTTTTCCAAACTGTTAAACTATTTTTTGATTATATTGATTGCTGGGTTGAAATAATTATAGTTTTCACAGTTAAATTGATTTGACATTTTCAGTTTGGTGGTTGTTTGTGTCTGCTTCAGTATCGGAATCACGATCTTGACTATATCTCTTCTGGTCAAACTCACCTTCACTCTAATTTGAGTTTTCTTATTTATCCTTCAGCTGATTATAAATGCAATTTGACTTTTCTGAGCTCAATATTTGACAATATTTATTTCAAAAAATGTTTCTGTAAACCTTGGAATAGAAAATGCTGTTCAACTCTAGACAAATTAAAGAAGTAGAATTTTAGTTAAATTCTTATCTGCTGCTCTAAACTACATTATCCTTTACTTATACAGTGCAGTACTTCAACATGCTCGACATGCTTTCCAACCTAATGTTTATTTTAACAGCTTCTTCATTCCCCAGGGTTTAATCAAGGAAATGTGTGTGAAAATTAATATTAAATATTTGTATATAATGTGTATTAAAATTAGTGAAATACTACTACTGTAAAATTTACAGAATGACAACAGATTAGATGAAAATTCAAGTGATGACTTTGTCTTTGATGCAAAATTGATTAGGTTATTTGTAATACAGTAGCAAAAGAATAAAAACTGCTGATGAAATAATTAGAAGAAACCTAAATTATCTTTATCAAATCAATTAGATTATAACATAATGTCATTTGATGGGAATGATTATTCCCATGTCATATGTTGTATAATCAATATTTATATTTTGGAATTTTGTTTTTTTCACTTAATTAATTAGTTTTGATATATTTTTTTTGTACACTAATATGTTATACACAAGAAATAAATAACTTTATGTAGATTTCCAAAAAAATATTGGCAAAAATATATGAATTCTCAATATATATCATTCTAATAGTTTAGATTATGATGCCTTATTCAATTTTTTTTATAAATGTTTATATTTACAAAAGAGGGTTTATAAGTTGTTTGTAAATGCATTGTTGAAACTAAATGTGTAATTACAGACAAAATACACCCACTCTACATCTATACACATCATACACACTTTTAAGTATTATATATATACAGTAGAGCGTCATTTATCCGAATCAATTGGGGACTGGGGTGGTTCGGATAACTTATTTTTCGGATAACGAATCATGTACGAAAAAATATATTAATTTATTCCATGTTGAAATTTCTCTCCGTTGCGTGTCGCTTCGCGTTGAATTTTCGTCGATGTTAAGCCTAACGAAGACTATTGTATCGTTAAAAATTATTTTTTTATTTTGTACAAACAAAATAAATTTATTGAAAAATATAAAAACAATAAAAAATTATACTTCAGATGTTAATTTAGTATCAGAAACGTAAAATATTTGAGTAGCCCGAGAAATAGCCGAAGATTGCAGCACCACAGCACTAGCGAAAATTTAAATTTGCCGACTGGAATGCTTTTGGATAACGGACGTTTTGGATAACCAGCTTCGGATAAACGACACTCTACTGTAATTTATTTATACCTAGCATTTTTTTAGACTGAAACACACCTCTCACATCATACATTACTTCAATAGGAAATTGTTTTGCTTTGTTATAAATCATGCTTTTTAGGAACATAAAATACAGTGATGTAAATCAAAGATACAAGAATCCAGGGATTCTATATATATATAATTTCGTAGAGTGGGTATATATATAATTTCATTATCTGAACTGTACTGTTAGGCTTGCGTACTGAAGAACCTAAATATGTTAGATCTTTCATAACCTGTTAAAAGAGGTTTTTCTAACAAATAAATTGAAATGTTATGTCCTTTGAATCAGACATTCATCTGAGTTCAAGAATTATTCAGAAGATGATTTAATTCTCAGATATTTTATTTAAATGCATTTTGGATATGAATGCTTTCCAATCTCTCTTCAGTAAATTCTACAATCTGCAATAGAGTCTGCACGAATATTTTGGACTTTTCAAAATTGATCAGAGTAACCTGTGATTGATTTTGAAGAGTGAACTATTTGTGTAAGCTTATCACATATTGTAGCATTACTGAAGAGGTATCAGAGAGCATTCAGATCCAAAATGCATTTAAATAAAATATATGAGAATTATTAAATTGCCTTCTGAATAATTCTTGAACTTGGGTGAATGTCTGATTCGAAGGACATAACATTTCAATTTATTTGTCTGAAAAAACCCCTTTTAAGTTGTTATAAAAGTAAATGATTATATCTGGCAAATATTGCTAATTTTAACTTTGTATTAAATAAAGAATCTTCAAATACTGGATTAATATAAAATACAAAATAATCCTTCATCACACCTTTAACCGGTATTAAATTTGAGTAAGATTACATGCAAACGTTTTCGGATCCTTCCCTGGGTCCTTTCTCAAGCAACGATTCGTCCTTAAAATTCATTAGAACGAAGACCAGTAGAACGAACTTATTCTGAACTGCGACATTCGAAAAACTAATTCTTCAGAACCACATTTCAAAAGTCGAAATTCAAAAATCAATGTGAATCACGTGCATTCCAGTATTCTGTAAACAAATTCATTATGTAACGCCCGTAAAAAATCCATAAAAACCTTTTTAAGAAAACCAAACTTTACATAATGAATTTGTTTACGGAATACTGGAATGCACGTGATTCACATTGATTTTTGAATTTCGACTTTTGAAATGTGGTTCTGAAGAATTAGTTTTTCGAATGTCGCAGTTCAGAAGAAGTTCGTTCTACTGGTCTTCGTTTTAATTAATTTTAAGGACGAATCGTTGCTTGAGAAAAAACCCAGGGAAGGATCCGAAAACGTTTGCATGTAATCTTACTCAAATTTAATACCGGTTAAAAGTTTGATGAGGGATTATTTTGTATTAAATGTTAGATCTCTTTTTAAAAGTCATATACATATATATAATGACCTATATTAAATAATAATGGATAATTTTATAATAAAATATCTAAAAGCCACACAGCATAACTGGTAATGCATCTGCTTGGTAAGCAGAAGTTGCAGATTTGAGTCTCACTCTGAATTGATCTTTTCTTCAAGAAGATTCTAAAATTAATGTAATTATTAATATTTACAACACGATGGTTAGCCTGTCTATCTTTGCTCCAAATTATATACTTTCAGTAATTAGAGTAATCATGATAATAGCCTGAAGAAATCTGGTTTTTAGATATTCAGTTATAAAGATTTCAATTTTTGGTTATTATATACAGTTGTCTTTATACTGTGCAGTAAAAAATTTGTAATGACATTAAAGTTATACATACGATATTGCATACGACTTCAGGTCTTATAT